ATGCATGGGTATTTGTTGATAATAACCATTTCAATAGCGAATAAAAACGATTTGATAAAACTATAGTAAAAATTTGTATGTATCCTTCTTCATCATGAATAAATAATAAGAAATAAATTAATTTCAATAAATTAATTTAATAAAATATCATGAAAATATTTATATATAACTAAGAATTTTTATTTTAATAATGCCATCTACTTATCCATATCTCAATCCTTGATTTACCACCACTCTTTATTTCATCTGTCCTCTCTTTTCTATTTTATATTCGATTTTTATATTAGTAGTGACCTCTATTTTACAGATAGTATCGATGATGGTTGTATCTAAGTAATCGAACATGTCTGATGTACTGTCATTGCACATTATTATTACTATTAATCTAAATCAGTAGGTAATCCTTCTATTAGTTGTTGAATGCATGGGTCTACTTGATTCATTTTTCGATTGGCTTGGTTTTGGTAAACGTGAAGTTAATGTATTAGTAGTTGGTTTAGATAATAGTGGTAAATCATCACTATTAAATTATCTTCGACCACGTGAAACTCAAACAGATTTTATTGCACCAACAGTTGGTTTTAATCTTGAACATTTTGTATGCAAAGGTTTATCATTTACTGCATTTGATATGAGTGGACAAAGTCGTTATAGAACATTATGGGGAAATTATTATCGTACAACGAATGGCATAATATTTGTCGTTGATAGTTCAGATAAAACACGTATTCTTGTTGCTCGAGAAGAACTTCAACAATTACTTTCACATCCGGATATATCATCACGCAATATTCCAATAGTATTTTTTGCTAATAAAATGGATATACGTGATGCTTTATCGGATGTTGGTGTATCATCAGCATTAGGTCTTGATGGTGTTACAAATAAATCTTGGCATATATGTTCTAGTAATGCACTTAAAGGTGAAGGTGTAGCTGATGGAATTGAATGGTTAAGTTCAGCTATTAAATCTTCACTTGATCAAGCCCGGCGATGAACATTAAATTCTTTGACAGATATGTGCAATTTTATATCTCGAGTTTCATGTCTGTGTTATGATTTTTGCATATATTACAATAGAAATTTATTTTATTTAAATAAAAATAACAACGAGATTTGTCATGAATACTTGACATTATATAATTTTTTATGACCCATGAATTTAATATATAGATAAATCGCGAATTTGAATATAGATGCAAATGATTGACGGATGATTTTTAATTAGACATGACCCAAACCCAAATTCAAACTGTTTGGGAGTTTGGGTTTGGGTCTTCTTTTAGTTGCCATCAATATAT